GAACCATGAAAAAGTTATGCCTTGGTCAAGTTACAGTTGACTTTTCAGCTGTCCAAAAATAGAAACTTTTGCATCTTGATGATTTTTGAGCCATTCTTGTGAAATCATGATCAAGACTTGATCAAATGATGATTGTGGCCTCAAAATAAGATATTGACCAAAAATTTTGACTTTTGACTGCCAAATGACCATTTTGTCCCTACAGTTGACTGTTGAGCAAATGGGACTTTTGACTGTGCAACTTGACCTTGTGAGCCTTGAAACTTGACATGTAGGTGCTTGACAATGTATATGAGCATAGGGGACTTGATTGAGCCCTTGAAAACCTCAACTTCCTTGCAGGAACCAAAACCCTAGTTTGATTGGCTTTAGGAGAGTGGTTGACTGTGTAGCCCTTGAGTAGACCTTGAACAATTTGGGGAAAAACTTTGAAGATTATGGGAGGGAAAATTTTGGGGTACAACACATACAAATATAGAGGAAAATATAATTTTGTGTTTAATTGTTCATACATTACCATAAAAAAATTTATAATTGTCAAAATAAGTTTATAATTTGATACATAAAATTGCGCGTTATTATTTTATCTAAATCTAAAGAATGATATAGACAAGATTGCATTCTTAAATAAACATTATACAAATAATACGATAAAATATATTTTGTGAGAATAGTATTTATAAATGAATAATATTTTATTTTTTTATGATTTGTAAATTAAAATAAATATAATACAAAGTATGATAAAATATACACATAATACATGTTGATTTCTCTAAATAATTAAAGAAATATATATTGGTTAGTAATATTTTATAACATAATGCGGTTTTGTTTGATTTGGTTCGGTTTGTAAAATATAAACCGTAAACCGAACAGAACCGCGCGGTTCCCTGAGAAAATGACCCAAACACATCCGAACCAAATGTGGTTTTTTGCGGTTTCGGTTTGGTTCAATTCGGTTTTGCGGTTTTCTATTAGGTCGGTTTGATTTTGAACACCCCTAGCTTTGATGATAGAATGAGCTCTAAAGGAGGATATTCTAGTGAGGAAGGAAGTTTTGGCTCAGCCAAGTCTACTGGTCCTGAAGACAGTTAGACTATTTGATGTTTACTTATCTGAACCCTTTGTTTATTTTTGGCACTTGAATGTGCTTGACATTTGAGTTCTATGGTCTATACCGAAATTACTGATACACTCTTGAATACATCCTTTTATTTGGCATATTAAGACTAAAAAGGGGGAGAGAAACTGATTGACTGACGTGACTGACCACTGACTGACCATTGATTAAGGGGGAGCTTAATACTTGAGGGGGAGCCTCATGTCTCAAAAGATATTCTGACATCTCCTATTCTAACAGCTAACTGCTAACTGAGTTGTTTTTGTTTTTCTTGCTTTGATTATGCTGCTGCTCTGATAATTCTCTGATAATGTTCTGATAATGTGCTCTGGTAATGTTTTAGCCAAAATTTTCTAAAGGGGGAGTTTGTAAGTGTTTGTTGGCAACAATTTTGGTAAAACAATGACTTGATGATGTTTTGCTAAATTTCCTAACATTTGAAGCAAAACTATTTTGAATGATGTCAAAGCAGATGTCTTGACATATGCCTCCTGAACTGAACTCAGCCCAATATCAGTTCATGTTTTCTGTTTCCTGATTTCCCGCGTATCATAATTCAGGATTTATGACTCATAGGCTGCAAAAAATATGGAGGAATATTTTTCTATTTGAATTATCTTTATGGATTATATCTTGGCATGTTTTCATGGAAATATTCAAAAGATTTGAATATTTGTTTTTCAGCCCAACCCCTTTGTTGCGCATATATAAGGACCTGCTTCCTTATTCAGAACTTCAAATTTTGAAGAAGAATACTTTCATTCTGTCTTAGAAGTCTAAGTCTTTTAATTGTCAAACACTCTAGTGTTGAATTAATGCTTGTGTTGTTATTTGGGTTGTTAGTTGTGTATCATTCATAAGCTTCTAAGCAATGAATGATTGCAGTTTTTAAACTTATTATTTTTGTTATTTCTTCACTGCAAGTGATTGAAGGGATTTGAGGAGGGCCTCATACCTAGGTGAGTCTTAGGTAAAAGTATAGCACTGGTAGTGATTAAGTGATTAGATTGTAAACTAGTTATTTACTGAGGGTCTATGAATTGATACTATTTAGTGGACTTGTCCCTGCCTTGGTAGCCCCCCAGAGTAGGTGTTGTTGTACACTGAACTGGGTGAACAATCTCTTGTGTTTTTACTGCTTTTGTTATTACTGCTCTTTACTTGTAAACAAATATTTGTGTCATGACATCTCATTCGACATCACATATCGGATACCAGAATTTCACAAAACCATAAATATATATTTGAAACACGTTCCTGAAGATGACTTCATCTTCTTCCTCGCGCCAACAATTTTGAAAATTTTAACTTCATCAATTCTCAACCCTTTTCAAAAGTGTAAACATGAAACTTGTGCATTTTTCCACCATGAATCCAACCATGTAACTAACTTAAGCTAACACACAAAGATAAGGATGAATTTTATTGGTACCGAACTTAACCCTAAATTTTCAGAAAGTTCAAACCCAAAATTCTCAATGCACAATCAATATAAATGAAAATCATGGACATGGTTAGCTTCAGAGAAATGATATTTACATTTATACTTCAGAATGTATGTACAAAAGATGCTTGTATCAAGATATCACAGTTGAAAAAACTTACTTTGAAGTGAGAATTGTGTATGCAGTTTGAGAAACCTTTGAGGTGTCCTATTGATCTGTTTAGCTTGCCTAGACCTCCCTGAGTGTGTTGCAACATTTACTTTTCTTTGAAAGTCCCTGAATCTCCCTACTCAAGTCAACCTGCAAGCTTGATTTTTGAAAATGGTAGATGATGAAGATGGAGTTACAATCAAGAAATAGGTGTTAGGATGGCTTGTATATGAAGTATATTAAGTGTTTGTATGATTAGAAATGGAAACACATGAGTAGATTTTGATTTGGTGGTTTGAAGCTCAAAAATGTCAAGTTATGGCCAATTTTGTGTTGCATAATTCTTGGGAAGTTTTAGGGTGCTTGAGCTCGTGTCTTTTCTTTCAATAGACTTGTATATTTGTATGGAAAATGTTAGATATGTTTTGCACAACGGATTTCTGAGTTGTAGGGTTTTGGCTATGTGGCTTGCTTTTGAAGAAAAGTGGAAAACAAGTTTCAATGTGTGGTACAAGCATGGTCTGAAGTTGTTGGAGGCCTTAGACCTGTTTCTTCTGGTTTTTACATTGCTTGTATTCATATGAAACAAGTTGGGAGCTCAAGAAGTTAACTTTTCATAAAGGCTTGCTTTACTAGAATGGAAGTGGTGACTTTCTCCCTAAAATGGCAAAATGCTTTGGACAATGCTTGAATCAATTGGGAAATTGATCAATCAGTTGTGCAAACATTAAATCAAGGAGTTATTTGCAAGTTAGTAGCCTACAAATCAAGATTATGCACCATGGCTCATGGATATGGTTATGTGTTCATCACAAAATTGACTTGTAATTCAAGTTCGAAACACTAACTTCATCTCTTCGATTCTCCTAGCTCAAGAATGATCTTATTGAGTTCTTGGACATTTTGAAAATCTTGGAACATTATCTACAACTTTAATGTTGGAACTTTTGACAAAATCCTCTTGGAGCTTGGTGAAAATTGGCCAAGAAGTTAGGTCAAAAATTTGCCAACACTAGGTCAAATTTTCAGTAAGTGTTTTTAGAAAAAGTGCACGATTTCATGAATTTATAACTCAAAATATAAGAACCTCTAGGATTTTATCAGTAAAGAAAAATTTCATATCTCATCAAGATCTACAACTTTTATGTTGGAAGTTTTCTTTGAATCATCTTGCATCTTGGTGAAAATTTGGCATGAAGTCATGAAAAAAATAAGATTTAAAACACTTAGAAAATTTTCTAAGTCTTGAAAACTTTGACTCTTTCAAAGACTTTTTAATTTCTTGATTTCTTGATGATCAAGCTTCATATTTTGAATGTATTGATAAATTGTGACCTTTGAAATTCAATTTTGATCAAAAAACCAAATTTTGACTTTTGATGTATCAGTTGACTTTTCATTAGTTGACTAAATTTAAACTATTAATCAATTGATCTTGAGAGATGAATTGAGTCATGAAATTAGGTCAAAATGATGTACTTGAATCCTTGAGATCATATATAAACCAATAAGCCATGTATTTGGTCAAAGAAATAAAAAATCAAGCCTTCTCAGTCAAAACCCTAATTTTGACCATTTTGCCCTTTTGATGATTTGAACATTTTTCTAGGGGAATTTTGATCCAAACTTGATTAAATTATGAATAGTACTTTAAGATGTTGATGTTTGTCAAAAATCTTGAAGTTTGACTATATGTTTACCACAATTGACTTTTTACCCAATACAGCTGATTTTTAGTCATCTGGTCAATTGACTGAGCAAAATTGTGATTCAAGACTTGAAACTTGAAATGAGTATTCTTGGAGGTCTATATTGATCCATGAATGTCACTTGAGGCATTATAATTCAAATTTTATTTGAGAAAACCAAAACCCTAATTTGAGGTATCAGTGTTTAGGAGATGGTTTGACCTAGTCAGCACTTGTACATGCTTGAACCATTGAAGGTCTTTGCGAGAAATGCCTTGAGAAAAGAGAGGGAAAATTTTGGGGTACATCACACTGCCATCTCCATCCTCACCTTACTAATCACTAAACCATAATTCTTTTCTTTTGATTTCTACTCCAGAACTCTAAATTCAACCATAACCAAGAACCTAGACCCTAATTACCTGATGATGTTTAACAGTTCCAGAGCGAAACGTTAGGGTTAACTCTCATGATGCTACGCTCTATTTCACGATGACAAAAGATACACAAAGAGATGAAGAATGAAGAAGTTTCAGAGTTACCAACCTACGGAATCGAGGCTTGTTCCGATGACTTTTGATGTAACACTTGAAGATGATGATAAAGAAGGCCAGAGAGGGGGTTCCAACGATTAAGGTAAAAATTTCCTGCTTACGATTTAATCTTTTTCTTCCTCTTTCTTCTTTTTCTATTTTTCAATTGTTATTGTTCTTCCTAGAGCACTGTGATGGCGTTGCGGGATCGATATGGACACGTAATTGTTGAAGTTGTTATGATGTCGATTTATAAGCAGAGAAACATGGTTGTTGCTGTGATGCTGAGAGTTTTGAGTTGAACCGGAAGATTCAAGAAGATGAATATTGAAGCATGTCGAGGCAGTAACGGTTGTACAAATTGATGAGTGAAAATGGAGTTCAGAGAATTTGCAGCAAGAGAGAGTGTTTGAAGGTGAAGAAAGGTTCAGAGAGAAAGATGAATATTGAAAGTGGAGGATGAAGATAATGAATGATGTGTGTGTTGAGATAGAGTGAAGTATGTTAGAGATTCTTCAAATACTTTTTGATATGAAGTTCAGAGATTGGGGTGAAAAAGTGGTGGTTCAGAGGGTATAGTTAAGAGAGATTGAAGGTTGAAGAAAGATGGATGATGGAAAAATGAAGTGTCAGGAATGTTGATTCTCTAGAAAAAATGTGAAGAAAAAATCCCTATTATTGATGAAGGATGCAGTTTATATAATCAGTTAGAAGCTGCAAAAGTTGGTTAGAGGTAAGTGGATCTGAGCCCTCGATCTTGAATTTCAGTTACGGATTCAATGGTCAGATTGAGGTTTGTTAGAAGTTAGTTTTGTAGTTTGAAATTATGTTAGTTAGTTAGTTAGTTAGTTAGTTAGGTTTTTGTTATGACAGTTATAGAATGAGCTGGCATAGTTAGTTTAGAAGTTAGTTATACTAGTGTAATTTCTGTTATAGGATAGTTAGAAGGCTTGGGATTCAGTTGGAAGTTTAGGACGTGCAGGGACTATTTTTGGTTTTATTGAAGTTAATGTCTTTTCTGTTTTATATGCAAGTATTTCTCTCATGTTTTATGTTTCTGTTATGAGTAGCTTGGTGCATGTTGGTAATGTTGGTGTATATTGCAGCGTGGCTGCAAGTTTGTAGGGGATTCATATGCAGCATCATGTTTTTATGCAGGTATGTGGTGATGGGCCTATGGTGGCAGTGAGTTTGGTTTAGGTAGCTGGAAATGTGTTGGAAGCTGGCATGGTGCAAGTCGTGGTCCTTTTATGGGCAGCCTTGTGGAGAATTCGAGGGTAGGGGCATGGAGTGCAAGTCGGTCATCATGTGAAGGATTTGTTTATTAGATATTATTCTTAACTTAACGCATATTTGCAGAGCTGTAATTATTGATTTAATCAACTATTTTGGACAGGTTGGTGCTTACAGGTCTCGTTCTCTGTGAATGGTGCAGTTCAGGCTCATGGCTCATGTTGAACAAAAACATGGTTGAATTTAATTGGATTATAGAATTTGGGAAAGACTCATGGAACTTGGTTGAAGAAATATGAAGTCATACATGAAGCTTAGTCTAGAGAAATGGAATACAATTTCAGGTCATGGAAGTTTATGGCATGATCATGAAGTTTTAGTGAAGATGGAAGCAAGTCATATATTGTCAGTTAGTTCAAATGGCTAAAGAGAAAAGCACAGTTGTCTTAGAGCATGAGTTTAGTTATGTTTAGGTTCAACGTATTGGTTTTTCACGTGGTTTCTTGATGTAAAGTGATGGCCATAATTGTGATGTAGTATAAGTTGTAATGAAAATATGCTTGAATGTTCTTGTAATGATATGGTAATACAAAGCTTCTTGTAAACCTTTGAGCTAAATAAAACTTCATACATTCCAAGTGAATTTCTTCTAAACTGCATATCTTTTCTCTTTTGACTTTGAAATGGTATGAATGACGTAAGCCTCTCATAGTGAACTTGAAATTCTTTGTAATGGACATGATGTAATAGATTTGGACTTTGTAATCTTGTAAATTTTCAATGAAATTTGGATGATAACTCTTTTTTGTTCCAAAAATTCAAGATCCTTCAAGAATGATCAACATAAGCTTGGCAAATTCCCCTTGAATTCCTTTGAAGAATGATGTTTCTAATGAATGAACTTGCTTAAGCTTTCATGAATTTTAATGACAATCTTGAACCTTGTATATAGTTGAAATTTGAACTTCGAATGAAGTATTAGAATGAATATTTGGATGATGAATATGCCCTATGATTTGAATTAGAACTCGTGACTTATCCTTTGATTTCAAGATGAACCCCAAATGGATTTCTTTGTACTTTTAAGAAACTTTGATTATCTTGATAGATCTTCAATTCCAAATCTCAAAGACAAATTCAAGTCCCCTTGAGCCCCTTACTTCAAATTTCAATTTTTCTTGCAATTTAAGTAATAAGCACTTGATGAGAGAAATGATCTCCTTGATCAAAACTTCACCCTTCTACATAACTCAATTCAATCCATAAAATAACATGTCTTGACAAAATCATTGTCGTGAGGAATCTTGTAGAAGATAAGTCTTGAAGTATGAATCCAATGAAACTCAGTTGATGAATATTAACAAGCTCAATCATCATGAGATGTAAACCTTAACCATCATACTGAATGATGAAATACCTTGAGGTTATGGAAAGAAACCAAACCCTAGCTCTTTAATTAGACCCTTGATGAAGCAATGAGAATTTGCTTAGAAGCTCAATGATGAAGGAGGTGGCTTAAGATGCCGAAGAACGCCAAAACCCTAATTTAAAGCACTCTCAGTTGAAAATCCTGATGAGGTCTTAAGGGTACACAAATGAACCTTAGCACTTGACCTTGAGATAATCTTGTGAACATTTGATAATTGAGAAAGGTTGAGAAGTGAAGATGTTTTAACATCTCATTTCCTGATAACTCTGAATCAAGAAAGAACCCTAATTCAATGACCATTTATCCAAGTACCGGGCTTTATTATTAGTGGATGCGTGAGGTGTTAGATGGTCTAAATGGGAATGTACGATGATGAGAATGAGATGCGTAAGCCATATGATTTTTATATAAGGGTAGGAAAAATTTAGGGTATGACACAATCAATGATATATGGTGTTAGTCAAAGTAGAAGCAAAGAAACATGTTACAAATCTAACAATAACAATCAATTTTTTATAGAGAAAATCAACCTATATCTCCTTTTTTTGTATCATTATAATTCTGCACAGACACGAAAATTTAATGTTGCGCGAAAACCAAAGTTTATCAGAAACTCTGAGAAAACTAACTCTAAATGACCCAAAAGATTGTGGGTACCAAAAGAAAAGATTGTATATGTTGCAGCAGCAAAATTAAAACACCAATCATGACACGTGGACTTTGGATGCTTGTGACACACAACAAGAAGAAAACATATATTCCAAGACCTAGAATCTAAAAGGCTGGGTACTAATCTTCAAAAGGATTTAGAAATAAATTTTTTTCAGAAAAAAGTACCTAAAACATTGATAAGAATCGGGTATCTAAGTCTAAAAGTACTTAAGAGAGTGCATAATCAGATGAACGAGAAAAGTGAGGAAACCAGAGGAATTGGACAATCAAGGATGGGGAAACTACTTTCAATGCTTCCATGGTCCTATTTACACTAAATTGGTAAACGATTCTTGGAGACAAGCAGAAGCTTACGAAAGATACATAGTGTTGCATGTTCTGGGTAAAAAGGTTGTGACCACAGAAAATTCTATAGCTACCTTGCTTGGAATCGAAAACGTTAGAGGAAAAAGGATCCATCGTATGAAGTCAAAATCACACTTTCTGAAGCGTGTAGTAAATCCTGCAATTTTTACATAAGGCAATCGAAATTCATCTAAAATAAAATCATCTTCTAAATGTAAACATCTATCAAAGAATATGAAAGTGTGGTTCAAAATTATTCAAGGATGCATACATCACAAACCAGCTTCCAGTGCATCCAGTAATGTAAACACTGACCAGAAACATATTTTGTACTATTTGATGAAGGGAGAAAATGTTCACCTACCATCTCTTCTCTTTAATTATCTGAGAGATACTGTTATAGAGACGAGAAACGGTGAAACTAGAATTGCTACAAAGAACTACATTCCTCTTAGCATACTCATTTCAGATATTCTGATTGAAAATGGCCTTATTAAGTATTTGCATAGTCTAAACATTTTGGAAGTTGCTCATACAGAAGTTGGAAACCCATTCAATGGTCATAATCAGCCTAAAAGTAATCAACATAGCATGGGCTTTAATTCCTCCAAGTGGGGCCTCAGATTTCAATAGCATTATAAATAATAGGATGATAGTGGATGGATATCCTCTTTTCACTAAGCTTGATCCACTTGATGTTGTAGCCTGTGATACGGTGGGAGAACTGACTATGAGTTTTGCGTTTGTATTCTCACTTGTTCAGTTGAGCAAGAGTCGCCACCGACTTTTTATTTTATCCTAAAGGAAAGGTTAAAAAAGCACAGCAAAAACCTTTTGTGATATTTCGTGGGTTCGGGGGGTAGATTATGAAAAGGGAAGGTATTAGCACCCTTTTCATCCATGGTTATCCATGGGCTCTTAGTTACTTGGTTTTTTAGATCACTTGCCTTGATTTTCGATTGCTTTGAAATTGTGGTGTGTGTGTGTGTGTTTTGAAAATGTTTTTGAAGAGATGCCTTGTTTTAGGCAACCAATGTATTCGACTCGTGTTTGAGTGTTTTACAAAAGTGTGTATCTTTTCGAAAAGATGTTTCAAAATGTTTTTGAGAGTTTTGTTTTGAAAGTGTTTGTGGAGTGTGGTTTTTGAAAAGAAGGCAAGTGTTTTTGCAAGTTGATCTCAAGTAACTAAGAGCTTTGTCTACCCCTATTGTACTCAAAGGTTTTCTCTATGTTTTCAACCCTTTTTAACAATTTTGTTCCACCATTGAGTTTGATGGACAATCTTGCGTTTAGGATGTTTAACGGGACGGGTGCGGGTCATCGTATGGACCATGAAGGCAATGGTGCCAAGTGTCTTTGGCAATTTTGCTTTGAAGGGACTATGATCATTCCATTTAGGCAACTTTCGAAAGCGTCATCGAGGGACTTATGATCATTTGAATTTGTTTTGCCAAAGAGACTCGACGTGCAAGCATGGCCCATTTTGGAAGGCAACATGTGGGATTACCCTAGAGGGTGCAAGTGTGATTGTGTATTGATTTCATGTATTTGTCTTGTATTAGGTTATCTAGCGTTTGATTTTATGTACATGCAAACCCTAGGTCTAACCATGGTATAATTCGAAAGCGATAAATTGCGGAAATGTAAAGTCTACGCTATTACAAAATAAGTATCCGGGAGTGGGGGTACAAATTTACAAATGGGGATGAGACTTTAGGAATATAGTGTCCAATAGATTACAACCAAATCGAATCGATCAAATGTAAAATGTAACGAATATACAAAAATAAGCAAATGTATAATGTATCAAATGTAAGTACATTGTGTAAGTGTATGTGTATATGTGTATGTAATTATTTACAGGTGCGACAAATGTGAATTTAAAAGGTATTATTAAGCATTGTTTAACCTAATGGTGAGAATTAAATGTTTATTTACTTAATCTTCGTAATCTTGTATTTTCTTTGATATGTACAAAAAAGAAAATTTAAGGAAAGAAAATGTTCTAAGTTTGAAAATTGTCATTTTACATTTGATATAAAAAATGTATCTTTATATTTTGTTTAATATATAAAAAAGAATCTTTTAATTAAATGTTAAGGATTTAAATTATGTATAAAAAATGTATTTTATTTATTATGTACAAAGAGAAAGTTCTAATTTTAAAGAAAGAAAAATATTAACTTTTAAAGGAGAAATTATGCAATCATGTAGAAAAGAAACATTTTTTTTAATAAAAAGAAAATGTTTTAATATTTAATATATTGTGTATATTAAGAGAATGTATTTAACTAAAAAAATGTTTTAAGTTAAACAAAGAAAAAGTTTTAATTAAAAGGACATGTTATATTCAAGATAATGATTATGTTATAAAAAGAAAAAAATAATTTGATGTAAGAAAATTTATGTTAATTTGTTAACAAAAATTAAATCTGTTTTATAAAAAAGAAAGGGTTAAGTTTCTGAATGGGCTTTGGGAGCCTTATGGCCCAAACAGAAAAAAGGATGAGGGGGGTGGTTTAATGAAACGTGCTTAAGCATTTGAAAGGGTTAGGCCCAGTTTACTTGAGACAAAGTTTTTAGGGTTAATTGGTTTGTGTTCAGTTGAAGCTAGCTTAGGGTTTGTGTACACTGAAGCGCCGTTTGTTTGCTTCGTTCGTCTTCTCCGATTATCCTCTAAATGTAATCTCCTCCGCCTAGCCACCAGCGCAACCGTCTCCCCTTCTCCCTCAGTGCACTGTTCAGAAGACGCTTGCAAGGTTCGGTCGTATTAAGGCTTTCGTTATATCTTTGATTTTAAGCTTTGATTGGATTCTGATTTACATGTTTTATTTCATTATTTGACATGCATGC